TATTGTTACCAAAAAATTTTGTCCCCAACTTTGTGAACATCACAAATTTCAATTAACAACAGTCGCCACGTGCTGACCCACTGTCATTTGAAAATTGTGATTGCATGTAAATATTGTTGATTATGTGTTATATTTATTACACTGTTATTCATATGATTTATTGATCACAGAAGGTGAAAGAAAACAGAAGTCATAAAACTTTGTCACTCAATTCCCAATTAATCGATCGGGATAAAATAGTTGAAGGAAGTTAGTGAAAGTGGCAGGACTAGTGGATATGACTGCGCTGGGATGTACAATGCCCGGCTGCTAGTCATATAGCAAAACGCAAACAGAACAGATGCAAAAAGAGCCAACATATGTAGCACATCTCAAATCCAAGCATTAGATATGTCAAGAATTACAAGCATCATATATCTTGTTGGGAAGGCTTTTCTAACTTTATACTACTTACCCGTTTCTAACGACACAAACAGTGATAAGGATATAATATAATAACATGATATAAGACAATTAAGAGGCATGAACATAACAGCTGTAATTATTAATGAATTAAGGTTCCCAAAAATTTCTTTTTCTTTGGGAAAAAGGCTTACTAGTGACGAAATCATTATCCAGCATATTCCTCCTTTCGTATTGCTGGGGGGACGACGAAGGAAAACCTTAAAATTGTCATTAAGCAAGACTGAGACACGGGAGATTTCATGGAGCTCGCAGAATCAATAACAATGAAATAATAGAAAATTAACACGGTAAAAGACTGCAACCACAAACGAGAATCAGATATACCACACAAATCATACTATGAATATGAGATAACAACTTTCTTACACTTCTGATTGTATACTACATAACTTACACATGCCGCTGACCGTCACTATGCACGACCCATTTCGTATAATGTATCTGTACACCGTTAAATAGCTTAAACTTGTACTATAAAGAAAACAAGATTCTAGATCATAAAACAATTGGGAACACGAGGACGATCAGAAACGTAGGCAGCGTTGTAATAACATTGACTTCGTCGAAGTTGTTAACTATCATATGCTGGATGTTTATGGTTTCTCATAAAATCTTCATGCTATGCTGTGCTATATGCTTCTTTTTTTGCTTAGAAAAAAAGGAAAAACATCTGTCTTCATTTTCTGCTTGGCATAGATATTCTTGAGCTGATAGCAAACATCACAGAATAAAGGTTTGGAAGAGGAAAAGATAAAAAGCGATTTTAAAAAATATAGATCAAGCAGTTGTGAGGAAGGCTGAACAGTTGAGTTCAAGTGATTTTTGGAAGGGAGAAATGAGGTGTGCGAAAAAAATTGTGCTAGTCAACTGTTAGCTGACCATTTCCAAAAAGAAATAGAGATAGGAGTTGATCTGAGCGGTAAGTTCTGATTCAAATTAAAAAAGAAAAACCAAAAAGGGAGGAAACTACAGTATATCAGAAGATTAGATTTGAAAACTAGATTTGAAAAGGATGAACTAACCATTATGTTCCCATGCATTACATTCATTAGCAGCTTCACCACGATGCCAAGGAAGGGGGGAACTCGAAAATCTCGTTCGTCTGAAAGAACATTAAACACTTCTTTTTAGAGTTGAGCTCAGAAAATGCTGCTATACATAGTTTCTGCTGGATGCGCCTCAGCTTCTTGAATGATAGAAGGTGCAGAGCCGAAAAAAGGGACTGGACCGTTGAATGGCGCTGGTCCACGTCTCTTAAAAAGATACGATTGAAAGCAATTTCTAACACTTTTCGATACAAATTTAAGTCACTTACTATGTTATAACCATGGCGCATCGCTGCACACATCTTCTTCTTCTTCCCTTTGTTCTTCGCTTTGCCTTTAACGATGACCATTAAACAATGATATCAAAATCAAATTCTGATGAAAAATTTTCAACATAAATCATGCTACCAAATAAAACTGAAACATCCTTTTTCTAAAATATTCCATGTAGAAACCGACAAACCTATCTTTTTGACACGCTCCAACTTCGGCTCTGCTATTTTACTCTGCGATTGAACGATGGGCAAAGCAGGGACCGATCTTTTGTCGTCAGTTGTTTGAATGGCGTTTGTATCAACCTAAAAAATAGATCAAAGTTCGGTTTTCAAAAGCTGCTGTGAAGAATAAAAACCTTTTCCTTTTTCTTGATGATCTTTGAAGGTAATTTCCCTATCATTGGCACAGTATCACGAGAGCACGGCTGGAAACAAATGAGTAGTCAAGAAAGTGCAGGAGTAGAACAAAAGTATATTCTTCTGCTACATGAAAATTCATAAATTTTGAGAGCGCCAAAAAAAGTATAAGGGATAAAAATCTTTTAAAAAAAGATTACAGTAAAAGCAGAATAACTAGAGTATATTGCTTATGAGTACATGTGAAAACTTCTAAACTGCATTAAAATTATGTTTTTTGAGCTGAGAGCTAACCGGATCGTCTTCTTTCGGACTAGGCTGGCTCGACGTACGGTTTTCTGTAGACACTCTGGATGAAATACCCTGTGCTGGTTCAGCTTTAAAAAAAAAGTATTTCCAAAATTTCAATAGAAGGAAAGACAAACTTAAAACTTGCCAAATCTGAAGATGTTCGAATCTTTAAGCATATCACCATTTCTGTTAGTAGTCTTAAAAAATATCATTTTCCCTTGTGATTAACTAAGTAGAAAATACTCACATTTCTCGATTCGTCTGGTGGTGAATGAGACAATATTGGCCCACCAAATCTGCCAGTGAGATGATCTCTGATCACAGGACCGTTGAAAGGGTGGGATTTACGTATGAGAGGATAGTTGTCATGCCGTGAAGAAGCAGAAGGAGGGTTGAAAAACGACACCGGAGGAGAGTGTTCACCTCTTTGTTCCTATAAAACATGCCCTTAAGTTCATAAGGTTCTTGGGAGCTAACAACCCATACCTTGACTATCCATGAGTTGAACATAGATTCAGGCTCTTCTGGTGGAGTTGGCATCAAAGGGGGTGGTGGTGGAGGCCGTAAAATAGGTTCGTCTTCAGCATTCAAAGATGGCTTTGGAAGATCATTTGGTGAGTTGCGTTGCTCTGAACAAAGCGGTCGTTTTTGCCTGATATGAAAAAAAATTGAACAGATACCTTTGTTACATGAGCAGAATACATAAAAAGTAGAAATAAGGAAGAAATGGAAAAGATTTCTGAAAAGTGCTTTTGAAAAGCTTACTTGAATCTACAGATGCAGGTGATTGAGATACGAGTTGGCTAGGTGGGTAGGCGCTTGGATGCGGACTATCTTTAGGCGTATGTGCCTCAGCTAAATGTAGCGATCAATTCAAGAATCGTAAGGACAGTCGTTTTCTAAATCTGATACCTCGCGTCTGTGACGTGAAAGAAACTGTTGGTGGGACAGTGATTGTTGCTTTCCTAAGCTCTTCTAGAGATACATTAGTTTAATAAAAAAAA